TGTTATTACATCATGAAATAAATAATATTGATATCAAATATTTTTTATTATTTTATTAAATTATATGTAATTTCATCACGTATGAAATATATCCAATAAGGACTATATTTTCTATGGTTTCTTAAGCGCGCAACAACAAAAACTGAATTTTTTGTTATGTCATCAAGCGATCTCCTTCTAATTTTTTGAATAAAACACAATTAAAAATAAAAATAAAAAATGAATTTTTTTAACTTGGTCGGATTCCGCAAAAACATAATTGAAATTGCGATCAAATTCCGCAAATGCTACGTCATCATGTGATATCCTTCTAATTTATGTAATGTTCTTAAATAATATTAAATACTAGTTTTTTGAGTAAAATATATTTTTTTTTAAAAAGTTACAGGGTTAGATGCGGTCCAATCAATAATTGAAACACTATTTGCGTAAACAATGCCAAGTGATCAACACTCTTCACTCTTGAAGGGCATTGTTCACTTCAAGAGTGCACAGTGTGAATTAATTCACCTGATCACTAAACACGGCAGCGTGAGAAGTAATTGAGAGCTGCTTCTCACGAACTAGCGGTTTTAATAGGCCCCTCATAGATAGTATTTTATGCTTTATTGTTACCAAATATATTGTTTACACGGTTTGCTTGAAAAATAGCCGCATCCACATAAACAAATGGCCTTATAGTAGATTGTGGTGTGGTGATTCAAAAGCAGTTGAGTGATTGACCTTAGAGATCACAATTTCATTGATTCGGTACCCCTTACATTAAAAAAGAAAGAAAAAACATTTTGTGATTTTATGGCATCATTGTGCACATATAAATTTTTACTATGAATTGTAATAATGCCATATTTTTTTTTGTCACTCAATTCTTTCTACTCTTGAATTTTATCATTTCAAATTACTTGATAGCTTACTTTAATTGACTCTAGGCAAAGTTCTCGTAATTTTGAAGAAAAAATATATGCTTAGTTCATACTTGATTTGATAAAATTAAATTAAATTTTATTGATTTGAAATAATTTAAGTAATGAGAAGTGAATTTGAATCAGACAAATATTCAACTCTTTTTTCTTAAAAGAATCATAGACTAAATTACAAAAACATAGAAAAGATCAACCTTTTTTTTTATCAATTAATTTTTTTTCAACTGGAGCCTTTAACATTGAATTTTATTTAGGATTGAACTTATCAATGTTTCTTGATCGCCTAGATATAGGGATACTGTGATGTCGAGGAAAAATCTTAAGGGCTAGTTGATGATGCTAGCTTTTGCAAAATAGAGCTCCATTTTATTAAATCTAAAACAAATATAAAACTCAAAATAGTTACATGGACCAAAGCTAAAGAATAGTAGTGACTATGCACACGCTAATATACATCATCATGCTCAAACATGGCGTGTGACAACATATGGTATTAAAATGATGCCTTCCTGCATTCCAGTGCTTGGCCTAGCGGTGGAAGGGGCTTGTTTCCTTCCACTGCACCTGGATTCGAGCCCTGGCGTGCACGCCTGTCACCCCCGTGGTGCCTTACATGCCTACTGGGTTTGCAGGGTATTCAGTGGGCCGTGGGGATTAGTCGTGGTGCGCGCAAGCTGGCCCGGACACCCCACGTAAATAAAAAAAAAAAAAAACGATGCCTTCCTTAGTGGCTTTGAAAGCTTCTTAACAAGCCCCTCTTAGTTGTGCAACATGTGCACATAGTGGTGGTACATGGAATCTTGCCTTTTCTTTTCTTCTCTTCTTAATTTTTGTATATATTCTCTAAAAATAACACCAATTTGTTATGTCAAATTCAATCCTTGTTTTTTTTGTTTCAATTTTTTTTGTCAATTACATTTTTCAATATTAAATTGATTATTAATTAGACTTCGTGATGGCAATCTCATATTAATAATCCAAGTTAAAGTTTGAAAAGTTAGTCTAAATTGTCTTTTAGTCTCTCTTAGGTTCTTTTTTAAAATTATTATTTTTTTAATTTTATCCTTCAACATTGTTTTTATTAGAAATTTAATTTTATAATTTATTTCTATTTTTATTCTATAAGATTATCTTGATCTCATTATATGAGTCACGAGTTCGATAAATTACCCAGGTTCATCTATTTTTTTTTCATCATTTTTTTAAATTGATTTTTCTTTTTAATTTTATGTATTGAGTTAGCTTGAAAATTAAACTTTGTAATTTTTTTCAAATTGCTTTTCACTTAGTTATTTATGAACTAAATTTTACTTGATAAATAACAAAAAATATTTTCTTTGATTTAGTTCATATATATAATTAGTTATTCTTACAATATCATGTTACAATCCTCGTAAAAACCAATATACACGCTTCTGACTTTAAATTTTTAATTTATAATAATGGTATCAATTAAGAACACATAAAGACACTACCTAAAAGGAGAAATCTTTGATAGAATCGTCATTCTATCGACGTCACCCGCGCGACACTGGTTGGCTATTTTTCGTTCGCTGGTTTATTCTTGAGAAATCGGTACTTAGTATTTGATTGAAGGCTACTAGGAAACCTGAATGTACTGGTCTTTACCAGAGATTTACAAGTACAAGACAAGTTATGACTAGGAAATCTATTAGCACCCCTGGCACACCCAACCTCAGGTAAGTTGATTTGTGGTTTTTTTTTTTTGCATTAAAGAAGTTTTTAAAATTTTTATCTTTTTATCGGATACTAAGAATGTCTTACATGTAAGTTCATAATCTTTAACCGTGAACAAATCAAAACATTAAATTCTTCTTTTGTCTTCTTCTTTTGTCTTTGTCGTCTTTATCATAAAAAACCATCCATAAAAAAAATATACAAACACATTCACTTTTACTATGTTTTTTTTTTTTTAAATCCACATTTGCAAGCTACAAATTATAAAAATTCAAAACTAAACAAAACAGTACATTAAACAATTTAAAATTCACAAAATAAACCCCCCAAAATTCAGTGCAGTGCTGGGAAGACTTATAGATCTTCAAGAACAGTGGCGACGCTTCTTCCCCACGTGCCATGGCCACTAGCGGCGCCTGGGTTCACGCGCCGCAGCAGACAACTCCCGAGAAGCAGGTGGATCTGGCCTGGCTTCCTCCTTTCTTACTTCCCTCGCCGATGGTGACAAGTAACGTCACTTGCGAAGCAAAAGGAACGCAACAAACAAATGATTTTGTTCGGTTTTAGATCTGTTCAAAGTCTTCTGTTCTCTTTTCCTCCCAGTTCGTTTTTTCCTTCTGCCGATGGCAGATATGGTTGTTGCTTTCATCTAAGGCCGCTAAAACTGCAGTGGAGATGGGAGGTGGTTGCCCTATCAGGGGGTTCAGTTGGAAGTGGATCTAGATCTGCGGGTGCAATCGCTTATGGGTTGCTACTTGAGGGTCTGCTTCAGGTCTTGGCAAGCTTTTCGGTGATGTTTTGAAGAAGAAATTGCAACAGCCAACAAAAGAAGGACTCCGGGTCTGTCAGGTTTTTGTGGAGGTCGGAGTGCATAGAGGCTGAAGAAGGTAAGACCTAATGGCTGAGGGCGAAAGGAAATGGGGAAATAATGGAGGTCGGTCTATAAAGGGAAATGTAAAAAGGAAACAGGGGGAAAGACTGCAATGGCAGAGAGGGCTAGAAGCTTTTGCTCTCTGGTTCTCTTTGGCTGAAAGGGAGAGGGGCGCTGGCTTTGATAGGAAAGGTCGGTGAGCAAGGAAAAGGGGAGCGAATGTGAGAGGGAGATGGTGGCTGGAAAAAGGGAGTGGCCAAGAAAGAAGAAAATCCCAGAACAAAGAAGGGTGCGACTACTATTTTTTGTTTTGCCTAGTAAGGGCGACTGGCTGATATCAAAGAGATAAGTTTTTTTTGTGTTCTCTCCAAATATACAAAATTACCTCCTTTATGTATGTGTTGAAAACTTCTATTTATAGGTAAAAATATTATTAGGTCCCCAAACTTGGTCCCTCAACTTCTTTCTTTTCTGGTAAATTTGACATTGCTTATTTTTTTTATTTTTCTTATCAACATCAATTCGAATG